TTTGGCGGCTCCTCCAGAAGGGCTCAGCTCCATGAGTAAGTAAGTAAGTAAGTAAGTAAGTATGAATAAAAGATTTGCGTTTTTCACGGCGGTGAGTATGAAGAATGCCTTCTTGTTGGATGTGGCGCTGTGTATATTGTGTGAACCGATTTTTATACTCTGTATATGGAGGCGATACCTTTCTTCGAAACGTTTTTTTACACAATATCTACGCGGCGCCACATCCCAGAAGACGGCATTTTTCATGAATAAAAGAGCTCACATGGAAGCCGTAGACATTGACTGTCTAACAGACTGAATACTTAGGCCAAGATGAGGGGTATATGTTAAATGAATCTTAACGGAGTAGCGTGGGAGGTTGGGCACTGGATTCATCTGACACAGCACAGGAACTTCGTGGCGGGCTCTTGTGCACATGATACTGAGCCCATGAGTTCCATAAAAGTCGGGGGATACGTCTAGCCGAGCTACTCTCTAGAAGGAGTGCACTCCGTGCAGTTGGTTAGGTAGGTATATAGGTAGGTAGGTTGTTTAATAATGTCCGTTTATGAGGTACGCGGTAACCCAGTTTGGGGATTCTTGCCTCAGACGTACGTTGGACACTGGCTGACCGCGGCCACTTTCTCCAGATCAGAAATCTGATAATCATCCTGAAATTGCTAGTTTGACGTCAGAGATAGCATCAGCAACTAACGCTGCGTGACGAAATGACCTAGTGGCCTATGAACAAAACTTCTCATTTATATTTTTTGTCCCTCTAGTATCTGCTTGTCTTGAGAAATATTTTAGACTTAGAATATAAAGTAGTCTGTTATAAAGAATATTATAAAAATATTGCAGGCTTACGTTGAGAAATTATTAGATTTCTGGCGAGCCTTTCGTAAAGTGTATATTTTGCACATATAACATGTTACTGAAAAGTCTTCATTTTGAACTACACACAAGTTCTCTGTCAGTACAGGCTTTGCAGAGTAGATCATGCCTAATTCTCTTAGTGGGGGGTGGAGTCCAGCTGGGTCCACACGGCACGGCGGCCACTGATGGGTCTATTTTACCTGCCCCAGGTGAATATGATGATAGAGAATTTGGTGGAATGAAAATTGACATGGGAAAGCCGAAGTACTCGGAGAAAACCCGCTTTGTCCACCACAAATCCCACTTGACCAGACCCGGGATCAAATCCGGGACGCCGCAGTGGGAAGCCACCGACTAACCGCTTGAGATATGGCGCGGCATAGATCATGGCTAACTTACATATGTTATGCTACAACGGCAGCTTAGTCATTTGAACGGTCGTAAGCTTCACCACCGCCAAGTTTAAGCCTCTTATATCTTCTGTGTCTGGCTTCACCTTGTCCTGTACCGTGAACATTCTCAGGTGTACTCTCGTTCTGTGCCCTCTTATAATTCCTCGGCACGGACGACACGGAAAGCACCTATCACGTGTTATCAAGAATGCGTAGTTATTGGTTCCTTATCTATCAATGGATGTCCTCATGTTGAGAGCGTAATTTCGGGAATGTGTTTACCGAGTCGTTGCCTAGCAATGGACATATGCGCCACAATAATATGCGATATACATCTCCAACTGTCTTCATTGCCACCATGCACATTTGTATAGTACTGGCGCTTCAGAGTTCTTTTCGTTTTGTACACGGTTCGGATCCATATTCAGATTGTTTTCCTTTTCCTCGGTTTTCCTCAATAGTTAGCCTTGAAACACGGCGCAGCCGCTTCCATGCAATGGCAATTCCAGTAGAACTTCTTCACCCAGAACGGATTTGAATTTGATAATGATATAAGGCATATGGAAATACAACTGACAAGACCGGAGAAGTTCATGGGCAGGTCTCCACTTTAGATATCTGTTCTTTGTATTTGAAGGTACAGCTTTTTATTTGAGGAGTTTGCATTGCGACTTGGAAAATTCCTTGGGAATAAGAATAGAGCTTTCCCTACTTTGTGTTAAAAATATACTCTGTCGATTCGTGCGCCATCTCTGCTAGGAATCGATAGCAATCGATCGTCGTAGTTGTTACCGAGGAATATGACTAGTAGAGACAACATTCGTTCGAATGAAAACGGGAAATAAATCACTAGAGTAATTGCCCATTTTAAAAAGGAAGAAAGTTTGGCAGTGTTGTCATTCATACAAGATGACGCAGTATACCAAAACATGTGAAAGAAATCACTTTAAGTAGCACAACGTGAATTAATGAAAGCAGTCGTGAAGATTCTTGTTCATTGCTATGGAAATTTCGATAATTCTTACATTATAATTGATTGAAGCAGGGTCAGATGGACGAGGCATGCAGCATGAGTATGGGAAATGGGAAGTTGTGGTAGGAAAACTTATTAAGAGCTGTTGGTAGACATACAATTCTTCTTGAGTATAACCTTATAGTAATAAGATATGAATTTATGGACTGGATTCAACAGTAAGAAGCCGAAATTTGTTTTTACTGGCTTGAAAAGCAAAAAATAAAAACACTTAAGTGTTTCTTTCCTTTTACGGTAATGCTGTATAACATTACGAGTTTAAAACCTGTATTAAACAAGTGTTTTAATTTTCTTTAATGTGTGTATGCTCGCAAGTAAAAAAAATTAGTTATCTCTATAACAGACCGTGAAGGCCTATAGGGTTGTTTATAGACAGTCGGCTCATAGATGGCAGTAAGGTTGTCAACCTTACGCGCCGGCCGTCCTTTACCCCCAAGAAGATCCCTGGTCCTAATTTCGGTTAGAGGCTGAATCGACCCCAGGGACATAGTGAGGCTGGAAGGATTAGGTAAATTGAAAAAATCCATTGACCTCGTCGGAAATCGAGCCCGTGACCTCCCAGCTTGTAGCGTAGTGCTTCAGTCAACTATGCTAACGCGGTGTATTTTTTTATTTCTAGTGGGGTGGGGCTGAGTCCCTTGAACTGCGGCCACTTCTGGCCTATTGTACCAGCTGCAGATGATAGGTGAGGGTGATTGTGGAGCAATTGGTGGAATGAAGGTTGGCAGGAAAAACCGAAGTACTCGAAGAAAACGTGCCCCCAGCGCCACTTTGTCCACCACAAATCCCACTTGACCAGACCCCGGGATCGAACCCGGACCGCCGTGGTAGGAAGCCAGCGACTAACCGTTTGAGCTATGGCGCGGCCCAACCCCTCGTATGCTCACAGTGAACAACGAAATCCTAATGCTGGTTATGAATTCGTTCAGTGTATGGTTTTGACTTCTTGCCAAAAAGAACAAATTTCAACTAAGAGTAGATAGTTGAATGTGAATGTCATGTATGGTTATTACGGAGGGAGAATTGGTCGTACTCTTTATGAGTTCGGCTAAAGCAAGGCGCTGCCTCACTTCCCGTCCCCACAATACCTACTTTTACTGCGAGTTATTTGAAGACCATGCATATTGACATGCCATTTTTAACTCCTCCTGCAGATTGAACTTGATGAGCGTACAGTGTAATACTTTTACTATTCTCTTATTCTTTGTCACATTTCACGATTTTAAATTTCAAGCCACTTCGTCGTTGATATCATGCAGGGTTCCACAGTTTTCACTGATGACACATTTTGTGATCACTTCTCTGCAGTGTCTCCATGATGGTCGCTAGGAGAACGTAACTCCTCGCCGCTTTTTCTTGAATTATTTTCCTCTTCGGTGACATTGTCTTCTGTTTAGTTTGCAGAGTATTTGAGATTCTTCTGATGTCACCTCAGAAAAATTCGATTCGGAGTTTCAGTAATATTTGTATGGGTCAGAAGCCCTTCTAACTAACGGAGTATATAAGAAGTGATTTTTGCTGAAAATAGCTGTAAATATAAATTCTCTAAATCCGGTTAGTTATTTTTTTGCCAACGACTGCAATTATTTCCACTTGTTAGAAAGCAATCCCTGGTGAATTTAAAAATAAACAATTCTGTAAGTTAACCATACCATATTTTGCTTAATTACCGGTATTATACATTTTGATTACAGAAACATTCTCTGTTTTACGCTTTCGCTATTCAGGCCTGTGTCATTTTGAGCACATGCAATAAAAATCATATAATCGATGGTTGTGGCAAACCCTATATGCCTATGTAAGATTTGAGGTTTTCACGGCCGTGACTATGAAGAAAGCAGTATTCTGGGATGTGGCGCCATGTAGATATTGTGTTAACCGACGTTTCGGAGGAACGTATAGCCTCCATCTTCAGTGTAGAAGAAAAAGAAGAAAACCCACCTGTTCGGGCTGGTTCCTCGCTCGCGGATTTTCTTCTTTGTTCTTCTACCCTGAAGATGGAGGCGATACGTTTCTCTGAAACGTCAGTTAACACAATATATACCCGGCGTCACATCCCAAGTGACGGCTTTCTTCTGTATGCTTACTTTCAGACAAGGCTTGTACTGATGTTAGGGAAATACAACATGCGGCAAACAGTAACTTCTAGCCTATGCAGAGAAACATAATATCGGCCTCCTGATTCTGATATAAGGACCGCACCCACGTATATACCCACGAACATACACGTCCGTGGCACTGCCTTATTCCGGGCACCGAAGGTGTTATCGTAGAGATACTGTTCCTAACTCATATTCGGGAGGTGTTCACTTCGAAGATCGGCCTGGACATCGACTATCCTGGCTGAGGTGTTTCGTGGTTTTACTCTGTCCCTCCAGGAAAATGCTGGAATAATGCCTCTCTTAGGCCTTGAACGCTTCCTTGCAAATCCTTTACAATTCATCATTAATCTGTTATACATCCACTCGACGCCTTATGCTGTAACTAATTAAAACGTAAAAATATAAGAAAAAATATTCCAGGATTAATTATCAATAACTTCAGGATTCTGTATTCATATCGTCGTTGGATGAAACCGTTCCATTAGTAAAGATACAACTGGGAGTAAAGTAGTTTATCAGTGTTTTCTGTGGACTCGTGCACTTTCCTTTCTCGCCTAAATTGCATGCACTTGCTGGGCTCCTTGTCGGTTACCATTCACCCAGTAAACCTGACCACAGGTAAAATTGGTGACATCAGAGCCCCCACCGCCGCATCTACGCAGAAGCGACTCCCGCGGTGCTCTGAACTTGGTGCGCCCTCCTCTCAGACCGCCAGTACTGAGGAGAAACGACAGCAGGACTTCGATAGCTCCAGGACCCTTCCAGCAGCCACGACCTTTGAGGCCCCCCTTCATCCGGCCCCCATTCAATGGCCCTCCGCCTAGAGCTCTCGAGCCTGGTGTTCGTCCCCCTCCGCCTGGAATAAGACCGCCGCTCAGACCGCACTTCGTCCAGCCACCATCCAAGGATGGCTGCGTCACCCTGGTAGGCGGTGGTGATATGGGCGGCGAGGCGTCCCAGCAACAACAGCAGGGAAGTCTCAACAATTACGAGCAAAAGAGCCTAGACCCGGAGCATAGGCAGAAAGCGCTGACCTTCTTTAAGAGCAGAATCCACAGCATGGAACACCAGAATCAGGCAGGGGAATTTGATCGTCCCATTTCTCGCGCAGGCGTAGACACTTTTCCGATGAACGGACATTTAAATGGAAGTGTGTCCCAGCAGAAGTCGTCGGAACCTCAAAAGTCGGATAAGATAGCTCCAGTGGCACCACCGGAACAAAAGCCTCCTCTACATACCTCGAATGCACCTTCGGACCCCCAGAAGGCACCTCCATTTGCAGCAAATATGTCTCCAATGATTTCTTCAGAGCTTCAGAAACTACCTTCTGCAGCACCCAGTGTAGGTGGAGCTGAATTTCAGAGGCCGGTACCCACGGTGTCTAATGTGACTGCTGCTGAATTTCAGAGACCACCATCTGTCGCACCCACTACGATTGCTACTGAAGTACAGAAGCCTTCATTGGCCTTGTCAAATGTGATTTTAGCAGAACTTCAGAGGCCTTCGTCAGCTGCATCCAGCGTGATTACATCCGAACTTCGGGGCCCTCAAGAAATTATCCAGAAGCCGGAATTCAGCAAGGTCATGAATGGCGTAGCTATGAAGCCCGCCCATGGCCTGAAGAAAGGCCACGCAGAGGGCGCGGGCAGAGACGAAGAGGATGACGACAACGACGTAGTCATTGTGAGCCCTCCCGATGCCATATCATCGTCATCTGACGAAGTTGTTGTTGAAGGGATGATCCGAGGATCAGCTATTAATGGGGTACAAACAGCAAGCAAACCTGTAATCCCCGAGTCACAACTTTCGGGAAACATGAAGTTCGAAACCATGATCACCACGCTAGGTGACACCAAAAATTCTGAAGGAAAAGAAGAATTTAAGGAAACAGAATGGAAGGAAGATCCTTTGAACAAAACAACAGAAGATAATAAGGCATCTGGGAAGGAAGGAAAATATAAGGAGGATAAAGAAAAGGAATCCCCAAAGAAGGAACACGATAAAGATGAACAAATTGGGAAGAAAGCAACAGAAATTGTGGAATCGCCGGAGAAGGGGCAAGAAAAATTAACTGAAAAGGTTGAAATTTTATCAAGTAAAGGTATCACGAAAGAAGACGCAAAGAAAGAAGAGTCGCCTAAAACATCAGTAGATACCACTTCGAAATATGCACCAATTCCAGGGGGAAAACCAGGAGAAAAGAAGGAAGAAAAATCACTTAAAGATATTGAATCCGTTGTAAAAGAGATGCCAGTGAAAACGGAAGAGTCGATAAAAGGGGAAACTGGAAAAGGAAACGATATCAGTACGAGTGAGAAAGGAAACGACAGGAGAGAAACAATGTCATCGAAGAATAATCTGTGTTTGAAGGAATCAGAAATCGTTTCGCCTGAAAAGGAAGCAGGGATAAGTAAGAAAGAACCCATGAAGAAAGAAGAAGAGAATAAAATCGAGATAAAAGCATCATCCAAGATTGGAGAAGACAAGAGGGAATTTCCCACAAACGAACAAAGGAAAGAATTTGGAAAGATGGAGAGCTCAGCTTCAAAGGACACCACAGTAATTAATAAAGAAACACAGCGAAATGAAGAAGCAAAAAGGGCTGAAAATTTAGCAGGTTCTAATAAGAAACCGACTGATGAAATTCAGAAAGGCCTTCCAGTAAAAGAGAAAACTAAGGAAATTGAAATAAAGGAAGTATCGCCGAAAAATGAAACAGATAAAATAAAAATGTCTCACAATGCCGAAGAAGTGTGTCCGAAAAACGAAACAGGCCATGAGAGCAAAAAATTAGAAATCTCTTCGAAAGAGATGACGGAGAACGTCAAGAAAGAGTTTCCAGTAAAGGAAAAGCAGAATGAAATAGAAAGGATAGCAAAATTCCCCAAGAAAGATTCTGAAGGCGGTAAGGAAGAATTGCCAGCACAGGCAAGAGACAAATTGCTTGGAAAACAAGAAGAATTATTTGAAAAGGGCAGTGGTGAAATTAAGAAAGAAAAAACAGATATCGTTAAGAAGGCAGGATCATCGACGGAAGAAAGTGAAATTCTGAAACATGAATTGCCGAAAAAGGAGAAGCAGCCCGAAAGAGAAGAATCTGTCGAAACAAAGCTGACGACGAAAGAAAAAGAACAAAAATCAGAGGAATGTATTGCACTCAAGAAGCTTCCGGTGACGGATATAAAATCAACTTCTCATGGAAATGAAAACAAGATTATTCCTCCAGGGAGCGAGTCTGCAGCTCTCTCGAAGTCGGCTGCACCCAAAAAGTCCAGAACGACCTCAGAATCTGAATTAGATACGCCGAAGAAGACCACAACTACACCAATGGAAACAAAATCCACGTCCAAGAAACTGGCTGCTAAAACGACGCCTGAAGCCGAAGGTGAGAAATCGCCCAGAGCGAGGACTCCGAGAGATCGGGATGAACCAAAACTCAAAAAGAAGCCTTCGAAGAAGCGTGAGAAGGAATCGTCGAGAGACGTCTCAAAGAAACAAGGTAACGGCACTGCAACCAGCATAACACATTTAAAAGCTTTCTTTGTCTGACATTACTTCTGCCGAAACTGAAAGCTGTTATTTGCTCTGTCGGCAATAATAGACACTGGTAATAATTGTAAATTATTTATTATTTCATTAAGTAATGAATTTAATGTGTGATTTTGATCATTCCTCATATTTCAGACTGGTTTTATTAACAACTAGATTGCTGGAATGTCATCGTGTTGATATCGAAAAGTATTTTGTATGTTGTTTGTTAATCAAACTTGTATGAAAGGCATTCAGATGTGGATTTTGGATTTATCGAACTATGCGCATTAATGGATCTATGGTAAAATGCTTTCCACACCTGGAATAATTAATAAAGAAATTATGATGTACGCTGCGTAACAATTGCTCGATTCGGAAAAGAATCAGAGCATTAATAATGTTGTGTGGAAATGGAAATTATGATTTGTTTTTTTGTTTATTTGTCACACAGCAGGTGCTGAAGAGTCTTCATTGTTATAGTTTTTTGTTGAGAAATAAGTAATCGCCCAAACGGCATTATCATATTACTAAGGTTTAATTTTAGATCGTTATACTTTAACTAAATATATTCAGTGTTGTCAGTTACCCAAATTTCAAAGACAAGCTCGGCCTGTAGTTGAGGACGGACTTTGATGTCGCTGTTACCAAGAAAATTGATAGTTCAGGATTCCGCGATTTCTGAAAACATTGTTTTGTGTGTGGAAAAACCTATGATTATTAAGGAAAAATAACTCGTGAAACTTCTATAAATATTTAAAGGAATTTTGAGTAATTATGTACTTTTTGTAAAGATTTAATATACCTTCACATGCCATGTCACTGAGAGAAGTGTGACATTTCAGTATTGTATCTAGCGGACTTTTACCGCCATTTCGAATGCTTTAAACATGAAAGCTAAATTTCTATTGTGATCTTCTAGTAAAGTGACGATAATATTTGCTTCCAATTATCGTAAGTAACAGCTCATATTTAGGACCCGGGATAACGTAGTCGGTATACCGACTGGCAACGGACTGGAGGACCGAGGTGTCGTGGTTCGAGTCCCGGTAGGGTCAAGAATTATCTTTTCTCCACGTCGTCCAGACCGGATCTGGGGCCCACCCAGCCTCGTATCCAATGGGTACCAGGGGCTCTTTCCTCGGGGGTAAAGCGGCCGGGGCGTGAAGCTGACCACTGACCTCCAAGTAGTGCCGAGGACAAAAAAAAATGTGGATCTATACTGCCACTCGCCATACGCTTTCATGGCATAGTGCTTAATTAATTAAGCATTGGGGCAACTTTACCTTTTACAGCTCATATTTAACGCCATATTAATTCGCCAATTAGACCGCTTCTGTGGTCTTGTGGCCAGAGTTCCTGGATACAGATCCAGAGGTCCCGGGTTCGATTCCCGGCGCTACCAGATTTTCTGTGAAGTAGTGGGTCTGGAACGGGGTTCACTCAGCCTCGTGAGGATAATTGAGGAGCTACTTCAATGAAATAGCATTTCCGGTCTGGATATCGAAATTAACGGCCGTGGGAATCCGTTGCGCTGACCACACGACACCCACTATCCGCTAAAGTTAGCACTAACTTTGCCGACAAGCGGCAGTCGCTAGGTCGGTATTGTTCTCCTGCGGACTACAGACCACGGAGTTTTTGTTTTTGTTTTGTTTGTTATTTGCAAAGTTTCGAAGTGAAAATGTTTACTTTATAGTAACTGCAATGTGCCTATCACATAATTAAATACGTACAACACGGACTTTGAATATTTTCTTTATACTCATATATAGGTCTATAGGTCTATGAAATGCTTTGCTGACAACACAAAGGGGAAAAAAGATTATGCTGTAACGTCACCATGATACGTATTGTAGAGGGCAGTGTAAGGGACAGCTCTCCATTCACGTGGCTACTAATTTAATTCATGATTCTCTGCTCCACAGAAGGTGATCACGACAGCGGAGTCGATGAATCGACGCAGGGAAACGTGAGTAAATACATTACTTCAAGGATTTACATGGCTAGTAGTAATTTTTCAATGACAAAACCTTAATATTACAGAATATGTTTTCATTTAAATGTTGTTGTAGAACATGCAAATAAGAAAGTTGAAACAATAAAAATGATAAGAATTACTCGAATATTTATTAGGTAGAAATATAAATAATCGACATAAATGAAATGACATTTGTTCTTGCGTCTTTAGTAAACCGCTGGAAGAAACCATAATTTGTCATTTTGAAATACCGACACGTAATTTGATGTGTGCCAAAATTCAAGTACCTGGGGACAGATGTAACGAGTTGCATACATTACAAGAAACGGGTATATTAATTTCCGAAATTCTTGCAACGTCGAATTCACTATCATTCATCATTTCTCTTATTTTTTTGCCAAGAGTAAAAGTTAAGAAGCCGGTCACGGTAGCCAAGCGGTCTAAGGCATGCAGTGTCTTCGCTTGCTCGGAAGCCGGGGCCGTGGGTTCGAATCCCACTCAGGGCATGGATGTTTGTGTGCGTTTTTCTGTGTTTGTCTACAGGTAGAGGCCTTGCGACGAGCTGATCACTCGCCCAAGGAGTTCTACCGAATGTGTAAGATCTAGAAAAACCGAAGTGAACGGAGTTCATGGAGGTAGGCCTAGGCCCACTGGGGCTGTAGTGCCAAGGAAAAAAAAAAGTTAAGAAGCCTAAAATTGCGCTTCTACTTATTATGTTATGTAGGACCGAATTTTGGTCTCACGCCAATGGATGGACAAATATTTTGAAGAATTTAGGGGCGCAAGAGTTAAGTTAATGTTAGGAAGGAAGTATATTTAAAGACAATCTTTGTGCAGGATGGGCTGCACTCACCTCCAACTAGTGCCGAAGTCAAGACAATATCGATTTATACATCCATTCTCTCATTCGCCTTCTTGACGTATTGCTTAAGCCCAGGGACAAGTTTACTTTTTGCCTTTACCTTTATGTTCTCCCAGTGATGGCTGTAAAGCTTTCTATCTTCTGGGATACAACGCCGTGTAGTCAGTTAAAAGTCATCCGACGTTCCGGACGGCTAGATCTATCGATTGGGCCAAACTGAGTAGCTTTTACCTGAAGATGGAGACAGAATCCAGTCTCCGAAACATGTTAAGAAAAATAAACATGACGGTTTTTAGGTAAAGACAAGACGATGAGTAATGTCCAAAAACACAGTAATTGTATTTTTCCTTTAGTTTCATGTTTGAAAAGTAAACCACGCAAGAATAGAATGGAACAGGCATCAAACGGAACTTCTTTGCTGACTTCTTGTGTGGCTTACTCTTCAATCTTGAAGATGGAGACTCCATGTTTCTTCGAAACTTTGTTTGACTTCCAACTGCTTTCAGCGTTATATTCCAGAACGCTGAACTCTTGAAGGTCTTTATTAATTACACTGCCCGTAGAGTAACATCAGGATGCTTCAATTAAGATGTGTAGAATTGCTTGAAGTATGTGCCCAGCAAAAGGGGCACATAATTTTGATTGAGATATTTTATGGAAAGATCCAGTTGGGAGGTCAAATCAAAGGTTGTGGAGTAATATTAAACCAAAAATGGATCTTGGAAGAGTATATTGTGGGGTGTAAACTGGGTAGTTAGTTAGTTATTTAGAGAGGGTGGGTTTCCCCATGCACCACGACCAGTTTGATCTATTGTGCTACCCTCTATGATATTCTACCAGTCTCTATACCCTACCGATAAATGGTGCGTACCATCAGTCCCGCCGAGCAAGCGAGTTCGGCCACTTGCTTAGCGGTGTCTATAATGCTTCCCCCATCTATCATAGGCCTTAGAGACTATTGTTGGGCGGGAAACGCCCTGGAATTTGGCTCAGTGATCCCCTTTGGGGATATGAGGTTCTTTTACGTGCCGTAAAGTTACGACACGGGACACACAGCTTAAAGTCCCTCCCGGAGGACTTGTTCCCTGAATTTTTCCGCCCTTGAAAATTCGACGACCTCCGCCGGGTATTTGAACCCGCGTACCACGAGTCATGAGGTGGGAACGTTACCTCTAGACTACGGAGGCCGCGTAAACTGGGTAACTGGCATGTGTAGCGATGAGAGAAGCAAGGAGAACCTTACTAAAAAACTAAATGCTGGATCATCTAGCTTATATTCTGGAGATGAACAGTTCGAATCTCACCCGGAAAACAAAGTATCCTGACTTGAGATTTGTTCGTGATTTTCTCCAATTCTCCAGGCGAGTGTCAAGATAGTACCTCACATTAGGCTACGACCACTTTCTTCTTCATTGCTTTCAGTTTATTATTCGTTAATGATCGTACCCTCTCACTCCATATTATCTGAGAACTTGACAGCGTCGTTAAGTAAGCCGCAAATAAACAAATAAGCGTGTCGACCAGTTACATGTGTATCGCCTGCTGAAGCCTATTATTAGGGTTTGAATTAATCGTGTGGCGAGTCTTTCTTTTGATCTGTTCGACTTCTGTGAACTGTGAAAGAAGGAACTACAAACCGGGAAACAGCAGGTGTGGAATTAGGGTCAGAAATCAGGAAACTGCTGTGAAGGCTCTTATCTAGATTGTGTTTCGTCAGTGTTGTTTAGCTGGAAACTTCGCGTGTCTCAATTCATTTTCAGTTTCATTTATGTCCGAGCCCAATAATGGTGTGTTGCTGATGTCATATTTAGGTAACGTATGTTTATAAATCAACACAGAAATGCAATTAATTTTATAGCGTGTTGAGCTTATGAGCATATGTTATAAGATAGAACACTTATGAAACGAACTCCTCTTTATTTCTTACATCTACGAATTTGCTACGTACAGAATAAAACCCTATATTATTATTGTTATTGTTATTACTATCATAATTTCATTTCATTTTGGTGACAAAACTTCTTACTTACTTATGAAATTCGGGCTAAATCAGATATTTCAGATATAATTTCAAAATTTCGCACCTTTTCCATTGTAATTTTTTGACATATAACAATGATTTAATACATAATGTGTATAATTATTTCTAACTTGTCTTCATACAGTATTTAAAATTCATAGTTCCATAGTTGCATTAATTAAGGCAGTGAAACTGACAATTTACAAGTTTTCGCTCTACAATCGCGATGTTTTATATCCTGCAAAAGAAAATACCTTAATTGAAGTTCCATAGTACCCTAGATACATAGTTTCAGGATCTTACATTCAGTGTCAATAGTGTTGCTCTCACCTGATAAGTTTGTACGTCCGCTATGTTTTAATACTAATTGTACGAAATTGAAAGTAGGAGGTTGGTGAGGCCTATACTGTCATAACGTTGAAATCAAATTTAGTGAAATGAGATCAGGCGTTTCAAAATTGCAGAGAGGGGCAAAGAGAGCGTAGTGGTATAATGAAGTTGTTTTTCTTTTTCTTTATGAAAGCAAAGTAATGCATTCTGCATTAAAAATTCCGCTGCTACAAAAGGGCTTTGTTCTGCACTAGTGAATTGATCGTTCATAAGAATACAAGAAATGTCATTTCCTTCTAGTAGATAGCCAGGCGGTCCGATAAGTTTTCTAAATTATCATTTAATTATTGGTCATGATAAATAATCTATCGTGTGAGGCTTATAGTTTTGCGGCAAGGTATTTCCATAGAGTTGTACACGCAATTGAAACGTAGAGTCAAATGAATATGGTGGAGTGTGTGGACTTCATCCAGTTGATTCGAGTTAGAATGCAGTGGCGGCTTGTCGTGGCAACGGTGGCGAAACTTCTATTTATATAAAAGACTAGCAATTTCTTGGCCAGCTAAGAAACTGTCAGTTCCTTAAAACTTCTGCTGTGTATAGCCTACAGGCCTATAGATGAAGGTTCAAACGGTTGTGTTCATCCGAATAAAAGAAATGATTCAACTATTTGGAACTACATTAAAATGCCTCTCAAATTAATGTGAGAGAAAAACTGCCTCAATCTTGTGAGGTTTAGGAGCGATCGTCCTCAGGGTTTCCTTAAAATAAAGGCAACATGTTCCTCCAAAATTTCCGCAGCCACCTGCTCATTCTGGTTCCTCGCTCGCGGATTATTCTACCCTGAAGATGGAGGCGATACGTTCCTCCGAAACGTTGGTTCAGACAAAATCTACACGGAACCACATTCCAGAACACGACATGCTTCAAAGTCACCGCCGTGAAAACGTCACATCTTACTTGACGAATTTTGTATACCTCTGGAGAAGTGCAACAGAAAACTGCTCTTCCTCCAGACATAAGAGAACTCAGTGCGAGAGAAGTTAAATAAGCCTGCGTAAAAAATAAATTGTGAGACGAGCATCTCACCTTCCATTGGTACGTCCAACAGAACACTAAATAACACTTAAAATAAAACTTTCAATGATTTTCACGATATGGATTCGTATGTCGTTCGATGAGAAAGTTTTTCCGACTCTATGAAGGTAGGCCGAAAACTCATTGTGAGGAGTTCTGTCTTCTGGGATATAACACCTTGTAGGCTGTTGAAAGTCATCCGACGTTTCGGAAGAGCCTATAGCACCAATTTTCAGGGTTGAAGATTAAGCCAACAAGAAACGAACTTGAAGCAGGCAGCAATCAAAGCTTTCAGGGGTGTTTTTGATGAAATAAATAAATTTAATTCGAAGTACCAGTATATAATCTTTGGAATATTTCGAGTGAAACGGAATTGACTACTGTGATTATTGAATATAATAAAGGAAGCACTGCCTCATTGTGTTATATCGTGTTGTATGAGGTATGTTAGTTATGTGGTGACATCACGCATGTATGAGAGAAGAACAATTTTATTTAAGCATGGACATTCATTCTGTAAGAAAATGAACTCTCACTATACTGCTTTCTTAATGTGGCTGTTCCAGTTCTGTTAATACAACACCGTCACATAAATAAATGATAGCATATAAATTGGGAAGTGTATGAGTATATGGATACATTGACTCGTTACCATTTCCGACATTCAGCAAATGTTTTCGCTGTGAAGAATATAGAATCCACATTTGCTCATCACCGTTCCCAAAGTCTTCGCCTAATTTCTCCGTTCTTTTCTAGCTTGTGCAGCTGCAGTAAGAATACGTGGGCAGTGACTAATACGGTAAGCGTTTTAAACAAAACATCCAAAGCCGCTAATACCAACTTTCGATATGAGACACGATCCTGACTCGTCTCCAAAACTTACGAAAAATCTCCGTTCTTAAATGTTTGTAACAGAGAAGACTTTTACGATGAAAATGTTATTAACCCTACACGAAACCCCCAAGCTGGCGAATCTCCGCCCCACTGTCTACTCACTGTGAGTAATTATTCGGAATGTTCGATGGTACCCTCCATATCCAGAGTTCTCTTCCACCCACAGCCTGAAGCTGCCCCGTGCAGTGGTGACAAGGGGCGCACTTGAGGCGGAAAGTAAATGTAAAGTTTTCTTTGTGCTTAACTAATTAAGAACTACGCCATGAAGGCATATCGGGGAATGGATGCATAGATCAGAGGTGATCAGCTTCACGTCCTGACCGCTTTATCCGCGGTATTCATTGGCTAAGAGGCTGGGTGCGCCCCATAATCGGTGTGGTCGATGTGGAGAAGAGAAAGTTCTTGCCTTTTCCGGGACTCAACTCCAATCCCTCGGTCATCCAGCCCTTAGCCAGTCGCTGTAACCACTGGGCTATCCCGGCTCCCATGTGAGCCGGAATGTTTAATAAAATATAGAAGTTAGCGAAAGCAGCAGTCGCTAACTATGTTCTGAGACCATGAAATGATCCCGACTGAGACTGATTCAGTAACGTCTCATTTAAGAAGTTTAGACAGAAATTGATGTGACAGTGACGTGCTTTCCATGTTACTTCAGAACTCGTTAAACTTTCTGCTACTGCGCTGATCTTATATTGCCCTAATCTGCATTGCGCCGACTCGTAACCTAAGTGCTGTAACTATGTCACTCGTATGAAATAAAACGGAGTTGAGCTCGTCGATAATAAAGAAAACACTCCTTCGGAGCCATGAATGTTCAGTCGATGTTGACGCTAATTTACAGGGCTAGATGTTCGGATTTGATTTCTGGCAAGGGGAAGGCTCAGTCTCCTCTTTGTCATGTCAGAGCGTCTCCTATCCAATGGTTACTGGACGAAATCAGCAACCTACAATGGTGGGGCTTTCATGTTAGCAATGTTAGCCCTATTAACACTTCGAAGAATGACATAAAAAATTTACTTTCGTGGTTCAGTGGTATTTCACTTACTGGCAGGGTAAGCGGTCACATAACATATCGTCTTCCACCCCCACTCAGACTATCAGAGGCTTGTTAGCCAGTTCCTCGCGACTTAAGGCACGTCCACATTACTCGTGTTCGCCAGGCTTGTGCTCGTCGGGAGACTCGTCTGGCTTTTACTTGTGCTCGTAAATCTTCGTCCGCACTACTTTAGTTGCTCGCCAGGCTTCGGCGCGTGAGGATCCGTATATTTACTCGTAGTGTGTATAGGCTGTAGTAGTATTTTAATTTATTGGCTATAGTTTTTAAATTAAAAATAAAAAATTTGCTTGTCTCGTGACTTGCTATATCGTCCACATTACTCGCGAGTATAGCGAGTCACACGAGCGCCTTAGGCTACCATGTTAGCCAAACGAATAACGGTAACATACTTAGTTCTTTGGCGCTTACAGAACAGAATTTCGGGCTAGGTAACAACGAATCACAGCGAATTAGAACGATAGAAAAAAATTCATATCGGCTCTTGTACTATGAAATAGCAGACACTGTGAAATGACAGTTCACCAATCGAGTCTCCGAAATTCTCAGTATAAAGTTTGTTTCACTTAGAGACTTTGGCAGGGAGCCAGGATAGCGCAGTCGGTATACTACGTAGTACTCGTAGTTACGTTCTCGACGGCCAAAGAGTCAGAGTTTCGAGTCCCGATACGGGCATAAATTTTTCCCCTCTTCACGTCGTCCAGACCGGTTCTGGGGCCCACATAAGGCCTCCATTCGTTACTTCACAACAACGCCATTACTCACTCATTGCACATAACTTTACTTTCGGTTTCTCTGTCTGCACTGAGCAGAACACTGACTGACTCCCTGACCCACTCGCTCTCTTTAAAGTCGTGTCGTCAGTACGGAAGTTTATAGCATTACCTGAACCTTACTCATCAGATAAGCGATTTGCCAAACTTTCACGAGAGGCGCACACAGACCAGGCAACGCTTCCGCCTCTAGCTCAGTTCCTGCCACAGTATGTTTGGCACGAATTTATAGTAGACTTAGGGACTTAAGACATTAATACTGATATTCTACTTACTTGAATTAAGAATTCCGACTATATTTCCTATGAACATCTTTATATCTTAATGATTTTTTGAATATTAACGCCCTGTTTTTAATTTAAAAACAACGTTTCGGAGACTGGCCTCTGTCTTCATTCACAGGAATAACAAAACAGACTACATGGCCTGTAGTCCGCAAGCGAACTATTCAGACCGACCGAGAATAATTGAGGAGTTATTTCAAGGAAGTAGCGGCTCCGGTCCAGAAAACCGAGATTAACGGCCGAGGGGATCCGTTGCGCTGACCACGTGACACCCTCTATCCGCAAGAGTTGGCACTAACTTCGCTGACAATCGGCGGTCGCTCGGTCGTCCTCAGGAATAGCCTACACAATTGGACCCAGTCGGTAGAACTAATCCCTGTCTCCGGAGAGTTGGCTTTTACCTGAGGACGGAGACGAAGTCCCGTCTCCGAAACGTTGTTTCTAAATACAAAACAGGACGATGACAAATGTTCAGAAATTAATAATTTTATTAAAATACCATTGTCACATACTTTTAGATCTTATCTTTGTATACATATTCTTGCCCCCGACTTGTTTTAACAGGATGCTGAAATATAATATAATATTGTTTTAACATATTTGTACGTACAGACCTAATTCTCTTTATAGCACAGAGTACTACCTGCTTTAACATTAAATAAAATAATTGTGTCCTGTGCCAACAGATTTTACTCTATTTTTGTTGCATATAATTCCCAGAATTAAGAGCGATTTTCTTCCTAAGTAGCATTAACTAGTTTGTCTTTGTCATTGAGAAGAAATGTTTTCCTGTGAAGTAAGAACTGGATTTTGAATATCGTTTAGATAAATGTCGTACTTCACTGGAGTAAACTTTTCATCCCATAAATCATCAGTGTTTCCGTCATGGCTCGATAATTTACAATAGGTCCGTCCACAAAGCGGCAGTCTGCATTTAAATAGGTTATACAATTTAGGGCAAAATGGCAATTGTCTCATACGTGTACTGCTGTTAATTGGAGAATAACTGACCGACCCGTCACACGTGATATTAGTTTCTCGTTTATTCTGCCAACCGAAAGCCACTGATTACTTTGTATAACTTGCTTATAATAATAATAATAATAATACTAATATTGTCATAAGGTACTTGAATTTCTGCACACTTTCATGTTATTAAATAACTGATCCTGCTTTGAAGAATGCCATCTTCTTGGATGTGGGGCCGTGTAGATCTTGTTTGAACAGACGTTTCGGAGGAAAATATCGCCTCCGTCTTCATAGTAGAAAAATCCACGAGCGAGGAACCAGCTTGAGGAGGTGGTTGCAGACAGCAGTCACCTGCTCAAGCTGATTCCTCGCTGGCGGATTTTTCTATCCTGATGATGTAGGCGATATTTTCCACCGAAACGTCGGTTCACATAATATCTACACGGCCCCACATCCCAGAAGACGGCATCCTTCATAGTGACCTCCTTGAAAACCCCAGATCCTACATAGTAGTTCTGCTTTATTATAAACCTTGCTAGATTAATGGCTGCCCTGAGTGGCGCACTTGATTTTCTGTCTTTAATTCAATCAGTCATTCCACACCTTGCAGGAACCCACCACGAATGGAGAAATCCAAAAATCACCTTCCAAAATCCCGAAGAAACAGGCGGGAGGTGTTACATCGCCCCTCAAGTCGCCAGTCAAGACGAGTGCCAAGCCCAAGACGCCCGACACCGCAGGTTCTGCAGCACAACAGGAAAAGAAGAGTGAGTGGTTGCTTCTCACGAAGCATGAACAGGGCAGTCTCCTATTTTATTAATGTTGGGTTAATTCAGACAGCGGGAGAAATGTTTTTCTCCTCAAAATACGAGTAGGACATGTTACTATTAGAGTATTCGGGAAATGTTTGCCACAGTTCAGAATCAGCAACATTTCCGTCTCTTGCATGAAGCCTTTACGATTTACATGTATGCGTGTATATATAATTTTATGCCTTGTTGATGTGTACGTGAAACGTGTCGTATTACATTAAGTAAAAAACATATTGAGAGTGTCTGGGTAAAAACGTGCTGCGGAGAAAGTATGGAGGTAAAGAAAGGAAGTAACAGGAGAGTGAGGCCGCGCCATAGCTCAAGCGGTTAGTCGCTGGCTTCCCACCGCGGCGACCCGGGATCGATCCCGGGTCTGTTCAAGTGGGATTTGTGGTGGACAAAGTGGCACTGGGGCAGGTTTTCTCCGAGTACTTCGGTTCCCCTGCCAATCTTCATTCCACCAATTGCTCCACAATCACCATCACCTATCATCTGGGGCTGGTACAATAGGCCAGAAGTGGCCACAGTACAAGGGACTTAGTCCCACCCCACTAGCAATAAAAAAAACAGGAGGGTGAAGAATACTACATATCGCAAAGCTTCAAAATCTGCACTCTTCGTCACGTGTTCTTAAGATGATCAAATCAGAAAAATTAGACTGACCGGACATGTACCACTAGAGGGAAAGATACTAAAAGAATTTTAATTCGGAATATCTGAAGGGGAAGAGCCCTCGTAGGAGACGAAGTGACCTAGGTTATTATGAAAATGGATCTGAGATGTTAGAGTGTAGACTTGATCCACATATTCAGGATAGGGTGCAATTAAACGAAAAAGCAAATGTACGTAATTTGCCGGTGATGTTCATAAATCACTTTTATTTACGCTAATCTTTCTCCTGTAGGTCTACATCCATTCGTCTAGCAATAATCGTAATTACTGCCCCGTGCTGGGAAATCAGAGGAAAACGAATTACTGCATAACATAACACACACATCAACTAACACTGAAATAGCACAAACCCAAGTGTCAGCCACGAAACCCATCATATGAGACGATTTGTAGTCAGTTCCGTCCACCTGCCATCCTCACAACCTGCTTCCTTCTTATCCCTTCTTCTGTTTCTCGATATGCCTAGAGGTTCATTCTCAAGAGGCCTTCCCACCAGAAATCAGGATATATTTTTTTTGTCCCTCGCGTCGCATGTCACCTAACAAGCTGCTCGGAAGCCGGGATCGTGGGTTCGAATCCCACTGAGGGCATGGATGTTTGTGTGAGTTTTTCTGTGTTTGTCTACAGGTAGAAGCCTTGCGACGAGCCGATCACTCGCCCAAGGAGTCCTACCGTATGTGTAAGATCTAGAAAAACGGAAGTGAACGGAGTTCATGGAAGTAGGCCTAGGCCCACTGGGGCTGTAGTGCCAAGGGGGAAAATATATATATATATGAGAACAACTTGGCAGAAGCTTCACTGTTGATTGGCTTTGTGAGGAATGGAATGTGTGAAGGGACATTGCTTATTAGTCCTGGACCTAAGTTGTATACGTAATGAACGTTAATGAGTACTGATGGGGAATGCAAATCGCAAAGAATACATTTTAAAAATATACATTCTGAAGTGTACTCTACCTCTCCAAGTCCCGATGAAGTCATAGAATTTGTTTCAATTGACCTAATCCTTCCGGCCGCACTATGGCCCTGGGGTCGACTCAGGCTGTAACAGAAATGAGTACTAGGAATATTCTTGGGGGTAAAGGGCAGCCGGTGCGTAAGGCTATAAACCGATTATCTAGAAAATGTGGGAACCTCAACATCTCACAACCCTATGGGCCTCCACGGTCTGTTGCAGGGTTACCTTTACTTTACTCTGCCTGTCCAGTCTTGCTGTTTATAATCCATTCACTGTGGACTTGTGCGGAGGGACACCCAGAAGCTACAGAGAAATACTCCTGAAATGAAATACTCCAAGGGTTCTAGATTTATAACCCCGATCGCAATGGGAATGTTTATATGCGAATTCTGAGCAGTGGAATTCTGTTACATTATTGATTAAAGAACTAAGGTAGCGTGTCACCCATTCGTGACTGTATACATGACAGTGTGAGTAATGCAAGAGCAAATGTAGCGTGGATTCTTGCATGTTGGGTGTTGCCCCTGACAGTGCCATGCCGTCGACGTGCTTGAAATCAACAACACATACGTTTTCGGATTAAAATTGCAGTAATCTTTTGTGAATTCTATTATAATACAATTCCTGTATACAGGATAACCACGTCCGCTGTTCGTGTCAATACAAAGTGAGTGTTTTTACTGCTTGCGCAGACTCAGGCGGAAGAGTCGGACGCTCCTTTTGCCAGGTTGGGCCGACCCATAACACATAAGTTGGCTTCGTTGTTGTTCTGTATAGGAACCATTTGTATTACATGATCAACGCCTTGTTCATGACACAGAAAAAAATGTAATACAGATTTATATACAGAACTTGTTTACCTGTTTTGTAAGGGAAGGATGATCCAGTATAGCTCAGTCGGCATTGCTACGGGCTGCGGGCTGGACGGCTGGGGTTCGAATCCCGGTAGAGAAAGAGATTTTTCACTCCACAACGTCCAGACCGGCTCTGGGGCCTACCCAACCTCCTATCTAATTGGTGCCAGAGGCTCTTTCCTCGGGGGTAAAGTGGCTGGGGCGTGAAGATCACCACTCAGCTCCATCTAGTTCTGAGACCAGGAATGGTGGAGCTGTACCTCAACATCCCATACGTATTCCCACAACATTTTCAATAGGTGGAGGAACTATTTCTCTGTTATTGAATGTACATAGGGTCAGTGCTTTTAGGCAGACAGAAATCCATACAGCTGAGCCTTTAATATCTGATCCTAGCCCTTTTGAGTCTGAAAGTGCTATTTCGAAATTGAAGCGGTATAAATCGCCAGATAGTGATCAAATTCCGGCAGAACTTATTCAAGAAGGAGGCGAAATATTACATTCTAAGATCCAGAATGTAATTACTTCTATTTGGCATAAGGAAAAATTGCCTGATCATTGGAAGGAGTCTATTATTGTACCAGTTCACAAGAAGGGTGATTGTCGGAGGATATCACTTCTATCAACTTCAAATAAAATTTAGTCCATTATTATTCTTTCAAGGTAAAGTCCATATACATATATAGATGAAATTATTGGGGATCATCAGTGTGGGTTCCGACGTAACAGATCAACTACAGATCAGATCTTTTGCATTCGTCAGATATTGGAGAAAAAATGGGAGTACGATGAGACAGTACATCAGCTATTTGTAGACTTCAAGAAAGCCTCTGATTCAGTTAGGAGGGAAGTATTGTACAATATTCTAATAGAGTTTGGGATACCCATGAAACTAGTTAGGTTGATTAAAATGTGTTTAAAAGAAACGTATAGTAAAGTCCGTTTAGGTAAACATTTGTCTGATAAATTTCCTATCCAGAATGATCTAAAACAAGGAGATGCTTTATCGCCACTCCTTTTCAACTTTGCTTTATAATATGCCATTAGGAAGGTCCAGGGAAACCAGGTGGGACTGAAATTAAAGGGGACACATCAGCTGTTGGCCTATTCCGATGATGTGAATCTACTGGGTGATAATGTAGATACCATAAATAAGAACACACAAACTTTAATTGACGCAAGTAAAGAGGTTGGTCTAGAAGTAAACACAGAGGGAACCTAGTATATGTTGCTGTCTCGTCACCAAATGCAAGGAAAAAATCATGATATAAAGATAGGAAACAGATGTTTTGAAAATGTGGCACAATTCAGATATTTGGGGACAACGGTGACGATCGAAACCTGATTCAGGAGGAAATTAAGAGCAGATTGAACTCGGGTAATGCTTGCTACCATTCAGTCCAGAACCTTTTATCTTCTCGTCTGCTGTCCAAAAACATAAAAATTAGAATATACAAAACTATAATTTTGCCTGTGGTTCTGTATGGGTGTGAAACTTGGTCTCTGACGTTAAGGGAGGAACATAGACTGAGGGTGTTTGAGAACAGGGTGTTGAGGAAAATATTTGGACCGAAGAGGGATGAAGTGACAGGAAGATGGAGAAAACTGCACAATGAGGAGCTTCACGACTAGTACTCTTCTTCAAGTATAATTAGAATGATCAAGTGAAGGAGGATGAGGTGAGCAGGGTATGTAGCAGGAATGAGGGAGACGAGGACTGCGTATAGGTTATTGTTGGGAAAACCAGAAGGAAATAGACCACTACGAAGACCAAGGCGTAAGTGGGTGGACAATATTAAAATGGATCTTGGAGAGATAGGATGGGATGGTATGGATTGGATTGATCTGTAGCAGGATATGGACCAGTGGAGAGCTCTTGTGAACACGGTAATGAACCTTCGAGTTCCATAAAATGCTGGGACATTCTTGAGTAGCTGCAGAATTGGCGGCTCCTTAAGAAGGGCTCAGCTCCATGAGTGCGTAAGTAAGTAAGTAAGTAAGTAAGTAAGTAAGTAAGAAAGTAAGATACTCATATACAAGAAAATCACTGTCATGTATTGAAGTATACTAAATGATTGCTATTGCAATATATAATGAAGTCAATAAAATGGAATATAACGACCTGGGGAAAAATGAAAATAGGCAGTATTAATTAATTGGTATTTCGGACTTTTGACTTTGGTCTTTAGAGGTAAGGCATTAGCTGTAATGTACGAGTAACAGTTATACACTTAGAGCGCAGAATCAGTGACAGATGGTGAGAATCAGATCACTAAACTCGCTCGGGCATAAGCTGTTTATCTGCTAATATGTTAACTGAATTCTGGAAAGACTGCGCAAATTAAGTAAGCCTTGAAGAGTTCTGTCTTCTAGCATATCACGCCGTCTAGTCTGTTAAAATTCAACTGAAATTTCGAAGGAACATATCGCCCCCATCTTCCCGGTTGAAGATTATGGTAAGCAAGAAACGAGCATGAAGTAACGGCCACAAAGTAGAATCCGTCCTAACCACCGCTTCTACCTTATTTATTACCTTCGGTATGATATGTCTTCCCGAACACCTTCACCTAACAATGATTACAGGAGTGCAGAGTCATGTCCCGAGCGATAACTGAATTAGCCGGGCGGACCAACAGCCCACGCGCAATTACGACTCAGAGTGTTTTGTTTTCTCACTTAAATGATGAAATGAAAAATTGTATACCAATAAGAGCGTTGGTCTGTTGCAGAACTTCCCATGAACAAGGTGCAGGTGGGTTCGGCGCCGTCCCCTAATCTTAAGACGGTGCGCTCCAAGATAGGGTCTCTGGACAACGCCAGCTACAAGCCTGGCGGCGGCAATATTAAGATAGAGAATCGAAAAGTGGACTTCAGCAAGACACAGCCCAAGATCGCTGCCAAGAATGACACATACATGCCCGGAGGCGGCGACAAGAAGGTGAGTGTCACGGAGAAAAGAAAGTGTGTGCTTCTGTGACAAGTGGCGTGATTCAGGAACAAGCGAGATACGTGACAGGCTGAGGCTGTGACCCTGTGAAACGTAGCAGGTTCAGCGCCACAATTTGTGGCGCCACCTACCTCTTGGTCTTCCTAGTAGTCTCTTTCCTTCTGGCTTGCCCACCAATTTCCTATATACGTTCCTCTTTTACCCCATTCGTGCTGCATGCCCGGCCAACCTCATCCTCCTTGACTTGATCATTCTAATAACACTTGGAGAAGAGTACAAGTTATGAAGGTCCTCATTATGCAGTTTCCTTACCTGCAATGGTAAGCTAAAGATATGAATTGGAGTATGAACTGGAATTAGTGACCATCGTAATATAATAGTAAACAAGTGCCCACAACAGTCAAGTGAGTATTGCATGTGGTGTGACACACAGTCATGTAAACCTACAGCTTTCCTTTTGATACGTTATCCGGATACCGTAGCAGTGATTTATATGAAGTGGTAAAGTGCATAATGATTTTGTAAACCTTTCATTATTCATAATTCTGTACGTAAGAGATTAATTGCAAGTCAGTACGAAGCCTACTAAATGTATTTTCCATTATGCACAACATAAACAATTACAGCAGTATCTTTTGCATTACTGTATTTATCCTGATAATGGCTTTCAGAGACGAAATACGTAGTTGTTAATGGTAAAACTAGAATATACGTAATAACTGTACGAGGTATACCAGGTTATGCGTGATGGTGCACATATGTGAACCGATTAAAGAAGCACGACGTGACTCGCAGATGTTGAATGTGGATTCACACCTCCATCATTGTTATCACTGTAGTAGATGTCAGGTCGTGACGTGTCATGTCAACAGCAGGTCACGTAAGGCAGTGCAGGAGTCACTAACAAAAGTGTGCCTCTTACAGATCCAGCAGGTGAAGTTGGCGTGGAACGCCAAATCCAAGGTCGGCTCCCTGGAAAATGCAACCCACAAACCGGGGGGAGGCGACAAAAAGATAGAGTCGGTTAAACTTGACTTCAAGGAGAAGGCGAAGCCCAAAATTGGATCCAAGGATAATGTGAAATATCAGCCGGGCGGCGGTGCCGTCAAGGTATGCATCTTGGGAGTAAGAAATTGTGCCAAATATTTCCTCTTGCTCTGAATTCGGCAGCAGACTGAAATTAAATTGGTAGTCACAGAATGTTTAAAGCTAGAATGGAGAAACTTAGCCAGTGTAACACCCCTGGATTTACAGTCCTGAGACACACTGCCCCAATCAATTTTGGCTTGGGTTCTAGTTTACATGGCTTTAAACCTTTACAGCAACTTTATGCAGGAAGTATTCGCTGGCGATCAGCCGTGTGAAGCTGGAGATAGTACCCAACGTTTCGGATACAGTCTCTCTCTCCATCATCAAAGTTTGATGTCAGTATTCAGACGGTCATCAGTCCCTGAAACATTGAATTCTGCGTGTAGCCTGGTCACCCATCACATCAACCTCTGATGATGGAGGAAGATGACTCTATCACACTTCTGATCTCCAAAGGAAACTCAACTGCATAATTTCCATGTGTTTTCCTGCAAGTCGTTCCCAGGAAAATATCTCGAAACATGTCATGTTTCCTCATTTTTGTTTTCTTGTCATACGTGACCGGTTTCCTAGCTCCCAAAATAACTGTTGACGTTGTAACATTGCCCTCAGTAACCTGCCCTTAGGAATTTCAAAACCATTTGAGAAAACTGTAGTCAGGGAAGTGAATCGAACTGCAAATGTCTGTTCCTAGAATGATCGTAAAATATCTCGAAGTTGGTAACTTAAGTCCCTATAGCTCTGTCTTCCATGTGCGGGAGAGAGGACCGTACAGAGTAGCTTGTCCTGTAAAACAACCATGGCTGCCGCTTAATTAGCTATTTCCATGGATCAGAGTACTTCTTCAGGAGCCGATAAGCACTCAGGGAGTAAAGAAATACTCCGCCTTTCATAGAACCTGAAGATTCAGTACCTTGAAATTTCTGTCCTAATTCACATGAATCGAGTGACATTCTCACATCCCGTCTGCCTCTGTATGTGAGGTCAAAACAGGCTCAGCCTAATTCGCGGAAGACGATCTCAATTTCTTTTATTTCTTTGGAGCTAAACTTTTCTTTGCTACCTTTCTTAACCACTTGGTAACCATAACTTAATTTAGAATCTCCTTCCCCAACCGCGTGGACAATAAAAAAAATATTTTCATCCATTTTCTTTTTCCAATTTCTTCGCCTTTTTTGTCATTACCACGTAGTCTTCTAAACCACGCCCACTATCTCCTGTCCTAAATACGGGATCGCAAACATTTTCTACCACTTCTCTTCCAGACCTATGATCCCTCCTTTCCTCAACCACGTCGTGCCCTTATTGGGTAGGACACTGAAGCTCGGGTTCGTTAAATAATGCTGTCACTTACCATTCATCCTCAGGACACAGGATGCATTGCAGCCGGCCGCTCGACCAATCTTTATTTGCTCGGTGTGGATCCCTGTCTGGGTTGCGGACCACATTTTGACGCCCAGCAGACCCTTGCGGGTTTTCTCCATTTTGGCGCCTCTTATGAGGGGGGAAGAGGGACTAGACATGTCGGTGACGCTGTGTGCCGCCCGTACAATGAAAGCAGTTTCTTATTTCATCACGATGAGCCCGTAGATAGCCTTCCTAAGGACGGTGAAACATTCATCTTCTGTTTCTGCTGACTTCAGGGTCGCTACGGTTTGCTGCACTGCGCTTATCAGCGTGTCCACGTCTGTATCAGCGCTGTGTTTGCTAGGTCCTGGTTCCATCCACTGTCACATCTATATGAGGGCTTCCGAACAGCCTTCCCCCTCCGAATTAACCGAGAAACTGGCAACTATAATGAAGAAAGCCGTCTTCTGGGATGTGGCACTGTGTAGATATTGTGTTAACCGACGTTTCGGAGGAACGTATCGCCTCCATCTTCAGGGCAGGAGAAAATATCCGCGAGCGAGGAACCAGCGTGCTGACAGACTAATGTCGGGTCGAATAAACCCAGCTGTATATCTACACGGAGCAACATCCCAGGCGACGGCATTCTCCATAGTCACCCATGTGAAAAAACCTCAAATCTTACCTGGCAACTGTAATGTTTGCTGAAGCGGAAAACTTCAATATTCTGTGTGGTTGTTCCCGAAACTTGAATTTATACTGCTGTAGCTGAAGTGAAGTTTCAACGTCGCCAATACTACAGCCCCAATTTGGACAATGGCCCTTATTTAGTTCCACCCACTTTTCTTTATCAAAATGTATCTTCGTAACATTTATCTTAATGTTCTCTTCGTCCTCTCTCAACGTCTTCTAGGAAGACGGCTCCCAAGAGGTTTTCACACAAAGAAAAATCAACAAATTCGTTGTTTCACTAAAATACTTTGCCAAATGCCCAGCCGATCTGGTTCCGCGGGATTTCGCTATTCGAACAATAAGTTTAACAGTTACAAAGTTAAAATTGTATATGGTAAATCCACCACTGTATCACATACAGTATTCTGGCTTATCCATCGGCCTGCTGCCGTGTTCCTAATGAGAAGTCGACATAACGTGTTATATTCAATTTCTGATAACCATCAGTCTGCATTTCAATTACTCATTAAGAGGAAACTTAAAAAAAAATAGTTTTATGTTTTAATTTTCTATGTAAGCAGGAGTTTCAGGAACCTACATTATGTATGCGGCTAAACGAGCTGATATATATTAAGACTGAAGTATCATCTGGTTTTCGAAACCGCAGTGTCAGGAACTCTCGCTCCGCACTGCCATGATGGCTAGGAGACTGCGTATAGCAGGGATATTAAGTTGTTTTGTTGGTATTGCTGGCAACGTAATCAAAGGAGATTGGCGGTATAGCGATCCTGGGGGTAGGACTTCCCTCTCAGATGGTACCACAACGCCTCAAGCATCTTGTGAAAGGTACAAAGTTAAATGGGAGGCCAGGTTTAGGCCTAATATGTATGCATCCTCTCGTGTAGAACAGCCTTGTTTCATTTGTTACTTCCAGGTGGAGTCTTCATAATTTGGATTTTTAAAATCATTCTCTCGAAAGTTGGTTATCTAAAAGAAATATACGCCCCCAACATATTTGTTCTGAAGAGTTCCACAGATGTTGTGAGCTGTAATACAACTGAAATATGGCAGAGTATGAGCGACATTTTCCGCGCCTACAGAAAAAGGATTTTGCGAGAGTTCACACATAATCTCAACCGCCCTTTAACCTGGCCCCACGACCCCAGGAGTGCCATCTCGTGACGTAGCAAGTGCACTAAATATTCCAGCTATTGTTCGATCATCGTGTGAAATAATGAAACACCTTACAAATAAATTTATTATTTGTCTACAGAAATTCTTTGAGGTTCTCACGCCGGTGGTTATGAGGATTTCTGTCTTCTAGGACATCCCAGAAGATATAAATCTTAAAAGGATAATTAAGTATCTGAAGGCGCGAGTGAAGTGGGCTACTAATAATATCGAATCGAAGACAAAATGACGCTGACTGGCTTATCTTCTATCATGTGACACTTGCAACGTCATCATCTTTGAATCACACAGTAGATTCACCTTTTAGAAAGATACCGTTTCATCAAGCGTTATGAATGTGAGACCATTTTTACATCTTTGGCACTTACTGATTTATTTTTAGTTACTTTTATTCTATTAAAACGACTGCAGTAACATATTAAGCGAAAAACGATTGCCCTAAAATATTCCTACCCATCTGTAATGAGCTATGAAAAATAATGAGAATGTAGGACATGAGGTTCTCTTAACAGTAGATCGTTACCAGCGCATAGGGGGAATCTGCTGCCATCAAGCTGGAGGCTACAGGGATCTCCTGCATGTTTGTAACAGTTTACCAGAATACATGCTGTCACATTTCAGACGATAGTAATATCAATAAATGGAAAATTTAAGTTAAAAATATACAACATGTCGGGGTTGAGATAGAAGTTAACTATTCTGTTTTTGAGTAGCGTAATTTAATAATTTGGCGGGACCAAGGATTACAGCCAGCTAACTTCTTTATTTCTAGAATCTTTGTTCATTTTCCGCATCATCATAATTTTAGTAATCCCATGGCCTCCAGCCTCCTCGGTAGACGCTCAGACTTTCTTCAGGAACCATGCATCTACATTACAACTTCGTAAAATTTACGGTAACATTGTTTCAACAGCGACTGAAATCCCCTCTCTACCTTCAAGGAAGTGTCATAGTTTGGCCAGTGTAGGTTGGTGGAAACAATTGTAGCATCTGAACAAATGGTATCTATATTTAATATCACACGGCACCATAATATTATATAATACAATAACATTAATTATGATTATAGCCTTCTGGAATATGATGCGATGTGGTTCAGTAGAAAGGCACATTCCAGATGACAGTAATATTAATTTAATTAATTTTAATGGACAGTTGATTCAGTTGTGTGCAAGACATCATCCTCTGTAAATTATACTTTGAAGTGCATGGCATAAACTTCCATTCTGCTCAATAAAACGTGGGGAATTTATTGATCTGTATTTTCTTTGCGTTATTAAACGTTAATATTGTAATACATATAAATATTTTTGTTGTCAGTAATATTGTCTAAGCCACTGTTATGAGTACCTTTGCATTTTGGGATCTGAAGTGAGGTTCCATGGGTGTAACTCTGAGAACCTGATGGTGCTGACTTGCTACAGAAGTTGAGACAGTGAGAAAGAAAAGCATGGCCTGCCTCGTTAGAGATACTAATACTTTATGTACGTTTTTATCATTCCTAGTTCCAGGGGGCCAAAGGACGTACAGGACGATCCAGTGGTTCTGGAAATAGGCGTATATCTGATGTAAATGTCTACAGGTACCCTCATATCGATTTTGTAGTAAGAAAACTTAAAGACTGGTAATTTTCGTTCATTGCAGTAATCTATAAAATATATTCATCAGTCATATAATAAAACAGCAGCATTCTTATGTTTTAAAAGCGTCACTAAGAAATTAAATGCAGTTTGCAGAGGCTAATATCTTCCTCAGCCAAACTTGGAACGCAGTGTCTGTTGTGGAACTCAAAGATTCACTGTTGTGATCGCAAGACCTACTGTATGTATTTCCTTACCAGTTAAACTGTAGTTTGTATTTGTACTACATTTAATCAAAAAGTCATAAGAATTGTCAATAGAAAATTTGATGGAAATGCGATAATATATACTTGATAAAGATAAGTTTAGCTCGTAATTCCTGTGGACAGTGTTAAGATGGACCCTATTTCAGGGTTATAGCACCATATAAGATTAGATACAGTTGGTACTGGCATTGTTTCAGAGATCTTTGCTGTCCGTCTTCGTAACGAAGTTACTATCGAATGGTCCATGCCAGTAGTTAAGCATGTGGATCTGATTGTCGAGTGATAGTTGGTGATCAATAATATAAACGAGGCTGTAAATTGTCGATCACTTTGGGGGTGGGGGCTGAATAAGAAGAAATGTGTGGATATGAGGAGAGAGGCCGAATTTCGGATAGCCATATAAAGCCGAACCAGAGAAAGCGACTTGGGACAGATGTATCAGAGTTGAGGCTTCTGCTCTACTTCTTCAGAATTTAGACGATGGTTCTTTTAACTGGGCTACACTAGCCCCTAAACCACTGAGCCATACTACGTGTTCGTGTTTTTAGACGCAAGCAGTTATTTACTTAATCACTGCGAAAAGAAGACAAGGTCTTCAGAGTAAAAAGATTTTATTAGAAAATCAAACGACTATACACTTATATACTATACTATATATATACTATACTATACTATACTATACTATACTACATACTTGTATATCGAATGCGTCCAATGTGTTGTAGTAATCATATTCCTGGAAACATACGTGAGAAGTGTCCCTTTGTTACCCTCGCGGTTTTACCCAAGGAGAGTAAATGCTAGTAGTTAAACAAATGACCGTGTATTCGGCTGCCTATAGAAAACGAATTACATATTAAACTAATTCAGTTGTTTTCTAATGGGACTAATGAAATTATGTGACCGTGTCCATGGCTATTATTAGGTCAATTTCCGGTTTTAATGTCGTAGAGACAGTACTCTGTTACAAATGTTTAGCTTGAGACGCCTCCATTTTCATGTTTCGCTTTTATGTAGGCGTAAGTAGATCGAAAGAGATAGAAGTGACTGATATAAACTGTATATTCTAGGGGCTGTCATTAGTTTTAGAGGGAGTTTAGTGGGTTTTCTGTGTTTTGGAAGTGGTCCGCTTGTAAATCTATCTTTGGTACTTCATATTGTGCTATGGGCAATGTGACGTATTCATGCAATCGATCTCCTTAGAGGTCGTGTCCCTTATTTTGGAATCGAAAACCTGACGTCCCCAACACATCATCAAGTCGAATGCAAGCCCTTTAGTGTAAGAACTACTTCTCCCCATATGAACCTACATTATGATGTCGGTCGCTCCAGAACCACTTGGTCTTCCTTGGGCATGACTCGGATAGCATCCATATTATTGCATGATTTTTAATAGATTTCTATAGTTTTTTGTATTTTAATTATAACGCACCTTTTAGTTATTTTTAACTAATTTTAGAAACCTACATAATTGTACTTACTAATTTGTTAGTGATATGTCATATATTGCACCATCTCTCACTCCAGTAGTTTGCCGTCCATTCACAATGACATAAGGTCATATCTGCCATCTGGCGGAGTAAATATGATCAACGTCGCTGCAGATCAGTTCACAATAACTTAATGGCACCACAAATCTATATACTGAACTTTGAGCAACTATGGACTGTTCTCGTAAAAATAAACGGTAGTTTCTCGCGGTTGCGTCAAGGTGCAGATTCTTAACAGCAAGCGGAATGTGCAAACAAAACTACTCATAAGTAAACACTATCAAAATTCCACTTGGAGCGGAAACTATACAATCATGTTGCTTAAAGTAGGTGATGGACATACGTATCTAACATAAGAAGATACAGAAAGTGAAAAGGGGTAAAGCTATCCCTGTAACAGACCGCGGAGTCCCATAGGGTTGTAAGACGTCGAGGCTGCCACATATTCTAGGCGGTTTGCCCACAAATGGCCTTGAGGTTGTTAGCCTTTCGCGTGGGCCGCCCTTTACCCCCAGGAAGATTCCTGGTACTCATTTCAGTTAGAGGTTGAGTCGACCCCAGGGCCATAGTGCCCTGGAAACATGAGTTCAATTGAAAATAATCCAATGACCTCAACGGGAATCGAACCCACAACCTTCCTAGTGCCACAACCAAATACGCTACCCCGTGCCCCCGAAGGTACAGGAGGTACATGTAAAAATTTATGTTGGCCCTGGAATTCGTTTATTATAATGATCCAAACTAAACCAGTGGCAAGGAAACTCGATAAAATGTGCTGTTGTGTGCTAGCATACCGAGTGTACAGACCTGGTTGGTTTAGCAATAATGCTCTAGTGTACATTCGGGAGCTGCCAGGATACGGGCTACCCTGAGAGGCTTTTAGTGGCGTTCGTAAGCCAACCCAGACAAATTATGGGGTATTTACACACGACAGCTTCCTTCCCAAACCTTTCCAGTTCATTATTCACCAATCTACCATTCGACAGTAAAGACCCAAGCTACTTACAGGATCATTACACACCGAGCTTCTTCGAGATCTGTCAGTGAGTTAGAACCTCACTGTGCGAACGCATACTCGTAGATCGATGTGACCAAATTAATTAATTATTTTTTGGTTCCCTCATTTCGAATCTTTGTAAAGATGCTTTTGCTTCGCCACTTCTAGCTTGGTTTCCTGAGAACACTCAGTAGCTCAAGAACCGCCAAGTTCTTTGCATGATATTTGACACTGCGTAGTTTTACTACGGTTTGTCCAAACATTTCTGTTTCGGTTGAAATCTGACGAAAAAATCTTACCTTTTATATCTCGGGAGTTAACTCGAAACGAAGAATATTTCGAACAGTATTAGGAGAGAAGAATTAAACGCGCTGTTTGCTCGAGTCTTGTGGTTTCAGATATAAGTGAAACAGTGTCAGGTGACGGCACCAGAATTATTACGCCGTGCATACATTTCCTTGGATTCTAAAGGGTCCTGACGATTGTGGATCACCCAGAATTACTGGGGTTTTGGACTTTTTCTATAGTCCGGAATTTTAGGTAATAGAGGACACGACGTTTCGGAAACTGGATCCGTTTCCATCTTCAGGTGAGGAAGGAAGACACCTACTCAGTTTAGCCCCTTAGAAAGAGCTAATCTCAATCACTAGCTCTTTCTAAGGGGTCAAACTGAGTAGGTGTCTGTCTTCCTTTCTCACCTGAAGACGGAAACAGATCCAGTTTCCGAAACGTCGTGTCCATTGCTACCTAAAGTATTTTCTGACCTCTGCTCCTTTCCACGCAGCCAAGGATATTTATGTCATTGTGAATTTGACTGGTTCAATAGTATCCCTGTACCAAGTTTATAGTTGTCATGGCGGAATGACTTTCGTTTGCTGTTTGTTTGATTGTTTAGACCACATCTAGTTCCCAAGAGAAGAGAGGCTCCACCGGTGACGTAAGTATCACGTAAATACGAACTATGATAATTGGAGTCCACAATCAATATAACTATACCACGATACAGATCGCTACGAGCCAGACTGTTGTTGAAGTCATTTGTAGCTCATTTATGACAGGTCTGTATAAACAAGTTCAGGGGACCTTAAATGATAAAAATACCTTCTCTTTCATCTTATTTATAGCTTCGTATACTTCTCTCATGGTCTTATCTTAGTTTTATAGATAATTGTCCTCTCTTTATTTTGATGGAATTCGGTACAATGTACAGAAAATTATGAATTGTGAATGTACACGCAGCTTTCCTGTCTAAATGTAGCCTCAAACTGAAAGAAAGATAATTTGTTTCCCAGAAAGAGAAGTGTTGTGGCGTATTGCTTTGTATGTTTTATGGAATCAAATATATTAGCGTTTTTCAACTGAAATGTAAACAATCTGACATGCTTCTTTATCTTCTAGTGTCGTTAGTTTTTCCAAATATTGTTGAAACGAAAGGGATCATGCGCACAGAATGGGAAGGCATGTTAAAGTGAAGGGTTACTTTAAATAAATCCCTCTAAAAATAAATGATATGGTTTCCAAAACACATATATGAGGTAATTACATGAACCAGTCACTTTTCTTTACTCTGATATTTCTGTTAAGCGCGTAGAATGTTATACCTGTCAGAGATAGTGTTAGATAAGACAAATAGGCCTATTTATTTTACTTCTATCCACACTTCGTTATTTTTAAAGTTTTTTTGGCCAACCTTAATGTACAATCTTACAAAAAGTATTTGCTAAAGTTCTCTGCGCCATTCGAATTGTTTCAGTTAATACACGAACAGCAGTGAAAGCTGCGCGCTGTAAGTTTTTGCTGAAGTATTCGCGAGAGACTGGGAAATTTCGTGCGTAATCGACATACCTGGCATACTGAACCGGTTCCGGTGGCTCAAAGCATTGTCACTGACCATGTCCACAAGTTTACTACCTGAACTGAAAGCATTTTCTCCTCTCGGTGGATCAGGCAGTGAGCGACAGAAGCACCTGACTACTTTTGAGATCGATTAAGAAGATTTATGCATTCTTTTTACTCGAAGATTATTCATATTGTCTGTTCAGGTTAGTGCGTTCTGTAAGACACTTTTATGCCAACATGAAGTACTGTTTTCGCTTATTCATTAATTTAGCTCAAATTTTCCCATACAATTAGTAGATTTATTTTTTTTATTCTCAGTCGTTTGTCTCACATAACTTCAACAAATTAACGTACTTTAAACTTTTCTAATTCGTATTCGTAGCTTCCTCCAACTTACAGTATTCGCCTGTAAATATATCTATAGCTGCTTGTAAGGTGGAATTTCGAAACAAACAGAATTCTTTTAAAAGCCGCAGGTATTTTACTTTGCTTTGATGGAAATGACTTCCGAATCCATAAATGACATTGGAAAAATCGTCTTTCTCAACAATATCTATAGATATTGGGACGGAAGTAGCATTTACATCCATTTTCCATTAGCACTGTGTTTTAGGAGGGGCACGCGGTAGCGAAGTTGGTTGAGGCACTATGCTACAAGCCGGAAGGTCGTGGGTTCAAATCCCGATGAGATCACTGGATTTTTTTCAATTGACCTAATCCTTCCGGACGCACTATGGCCCAATATTCCAAGAATATTCCTGGGGGTAAAGGGCGGCCGACGCGTAGGGCTGACGACCTTATCGCCATCTCTGAGCCGACTTTCTAGAACATGTGGGAACCTCAACATCCCACAACCCAATGGGTCTCCACGGCCTCTTACAGGGATGCCTTTACTTATACCTTTTTACTTTACTGTGTTTTAGGAAACAGCGGGTACTTTGTCAATTGCTGCAGAAGTAAAAGTGTTCCTCAGAGGAAAATATGAACGTTAAGTTCCTAACGCCTTGAATTAAAATATTTCTATGATTTTAAGAAAAATCATAAATATTCTATTTTCATAATAAGATATCATATTTTAACATAGTTCACAAAAAATCCAGTCGAAATTTGCGTTCACTAAATATTTTAAATAACACTTTGCTGATGATAGTGAACTCATAATTGTAGTTCGAAATAATGGAACGCTGGCCCATGTCTAGACGGTGTTGTACTCATGATCGTGCACGGGTTTGCGTCTTGGTTCGCATGACATAAACTTAAGTAACATGAACACAATCCCATGCAGTATTATTGTAATTCCGTTGGTGGCTACTTATACTCATTAAGAAAACTAGAGAGAAAGTGACATACATCTGGACTTTGCAATTTGATTTTTGTTATTAACCACTTATTTATGTGTCTGTTTGAGAGAGCTGGGAGACATAAAAAGCTACACTGCAGATAAACACCATAACATGCACCACACATCAGGAAATCCTGTGGATTCATTTCCACGTATACAGAAATCTCATTCAGTCGGCCCTTTATCATTTCTAATGTGCATTCTGTACTTCGCCATCTTCGTTCAAATACGCATTTTGCTGCACCACTCAAATGCTCGTTCGAGTGAAGTCTATTCTAAGTGTGATGGAATTATTTCCTCATTACGCGTTTGCATCGTAACATATTCACTTAGGCCTATAATATAACCATATAGCATTAAAAGCAGCAGAATATTGGTATTAAGCTACAGGAACTAGTAATGTCACTCATATTACGAAAAGTGGCACACATCAGGGGACAAGAAATATAATTGATTGAACATCATGTTTTGTTTTAATTAGATAGTGTTTGTTACATTATATTTTCCAATATCCACAGGTGTTTTTGTTTCTTGTCACTAACTTTATCAGTCTGGCCGCACCATAACTCAAGGGATTAGTCGCTGGCTTTCCACCGCGGTGGCCCGGGTTCGATCCCGGGTCTGATCAAGTGGGATTTGTGGTGGACAAAGTGGCGCTGGGCCGGGTTTTCTCCGAGTACTTAGGTTTCCCTTGCCAATCTTCATTTCCCCGAATTCCGCATCATCATAATGACCAGAGGCAGGCTATAATAGGCCAATCGGTGGCCGCCGTGCCGAGTGGACCCAGTTTGACTCCAACCCCCACTTAGCGAAATGACAAAAAAAAACTTTATCAGTCAGCTGTGCATGGATTTTCGGTTGACCGTAACTCTTCCAGCGTCTTCGCATTCTGTGTGCGTGTGCGTGTGTGTGTGTGTGTGTGTGTATGTAGTGACGGCAGTCTTAGGGTAAAGTTGCTATCATTGGATCAATTTTCTGAAACTCTGAAAATCATAATTCTGAAATTAATGTGAACTCTATATTCGTATACAAAAACTCACTTTCTAAATTTAAAATTATGGAAAGTATATCGGGTTTGTATTTAGTGAGAAGTGCTCCAGTGGCGGATATCTTTCTCCATGCATGGTTAGCCTGGCATGAATTATTACAGTAAATGAGTTTGGGCGAGATAGTGTGAGGAAATTGTGTCATTAAGAGAAATAGCAATAAAATGAAGTTTAATCATTTTACTGCCAGTATTTTATTTTGTCCAAAACATGACCGCAAACTGGCACTGGATAGAGGACCGCCCTCAATGAACCCGCAAAACATTTTTGTCTGCGTTGTATTAACACGAAGTTGCGGCATTATTGCCCAAGATTCGTGAGGGGGATTTAGCACTCCTGTATTTTTTTGTGTGTGTATTAATGTCCATCGAGAAGAAGAACTTCCCTCTTCTTTGTACGATTAACATTTGAAATAGAATGATGGATCCATACTACAAATACTCCTTTACTGGTACACACGCTTCCCTAGGAGGGGTGTAACAGCACTTAAGTTCTTATTTAGCGCTAACATTTTGAAAATAGATAGAGTGTAACGTAGGACTACTTTCCAACAGCGCTAACAAAGCATCCGGTCTAGAAAGTAACTGCCGTGGGGATTCGTTGTGCTGCCACGCGACACCCTCTATCTTCTGAAGTTGGCACGAACTTCGCTGACAAGCGGCGGTCGCCCGGTCGGTAAAGTTCGCTTGCGGACTAAAACCTCGGAGTTTGTTTGTTTGCTTACTAACAAAGCAGACGTCTGTTGTTGTTACAATCTACTCGCCACTAGAAATGTACCCAGCTTTATGATGGTCCTTTTATTCTGTTACTTTCCACATCTTCTCTACATCGTTATATACCACTTTTGCTTACATTAAAATTGCGAGTGGCGTTGAACTTGCGTTCATAAACTATTTCCGCAGGCCCATCAAGGAATTCAGTAACTTTTTTCTTTATTAAAAACCAGGTAATCTAGCCAGTGGCTTCACTTCCTGCTGCCTTCTGTCTTCTCATAAATTCATACAGATATTTCTTACTTGAATTTTATCAATTTTATATCAGATACATGTGAAGCTTGGATCCTTTTTAGCCTTCTCAGTTCATTTATTTTAACTCCTGACGAACTGTGTTTTATTTCACCACACGCTGGAGACTTTATCTTCAATATCTTTTGGAATGCCACCAGCACTGTCGACAGTTCCTTCTCTTCAATATTTTTCCCGTGTTCTTTTTACTTCAGAGTAGCTTGCGGAATATTGAACTGCTTGGTTCCTCAGTTCAAACCACCGTCTCTGCTTTTAATGGCTCATACATTTAGCTTCATCACTTCCTCCTACAACGTGACATATTTAACACCTTTGGCACTATGAATATTAAATCACTTTCAGAGAAGTATGTAAATATAAAACACCGTAAACAAATAAATAATTTATATTATCCATATTGCCATCCAGAGAATGTATACAGTAATATTTATAATGTTGAAAATATGCCACTTGTCTCTTTGAATTAAGAACCATATTGGAATTGCCATGAGTAGACCAGCAGTCCATTTATGGATCCTGGGCCGATCCAACGGAAGAAACTACAATGTCATTCTAAAAGACTGCGCAGTAACAAGTAGACCGGCTCACCGAAACCCATTATATAAGCAAAATGGCGGGTAACCCGGCCTCTCTAAAGGTACGATTTACAAAATTTCAGCCGAGGAATAATTTAAAATAATTCATA